CGATGGACCACAGGATGGACCACAGGATGGACCACAAAGACCGCCGATGGACCACAGGATGGACCACAAAGACCGCCGATGGACCACAGGATGGATCACAAAGACCGCCGATGGACCACAGCCAGGACTACCCACAGAAAGTGGACCTCGGAGCAAGCAGTGCATCTTGGACGAGCAAATGCAAATCATACAAGGGCGGATCCATGTCTAACAGTGCAACAGCAGGTTGCTGTAAGCGCAGGCTCCAACCAGCAAATCGACATCATGTGATTGCTAATCTCCTGGATCACAAATTTCCAGCAAGGTAAGCGACCACATACTTACCTCCTACAGCACAGCACAAAGCGCGCAAATGACAACACAAATAGCGGTGTCATAAGAAACGGTGAAGAACATGGCATTGCTGCACTCCCTATCACGACTTTGTGCGGCATTTTCACTCTTCCCCGATGTACCAAGCACCTTACTAGATGCTCGTTGCCTAGCACAAGCATGTCTTCCAGCTAAATGAAGACCAAGCAAAGAGATTCTGAACCCACCCTTGCATGACAGCTGGCTGGGCACAGCAGCTGCGAGCTGAAGCGGTCATGGAAAACACCATCTCCACCACGTGGAGGTCCGATGTGTGCTTGTATGTGCTAGAAACAAGCCGTGAACAAACAAAGACTGAAACCATCGATGTGTCCGTCATTTGGAGGTAAGATAAAGGCAGCGCAGCATTTTCCTCTTCCGGAGGAACAGCACAGCATCTAGAAGGAGGGGAGGTCGAAGAGAACGAGACTCACGGCCATCACCAACATACCACAGATGATACTCGTGGTAACCACTTTGTCTTGAGGGTCGTACTTCCTCGCTGCGGGCAGGAGCTCGGACAGAACGATGCCAACCATCACCCCGGCTATCCCAGCGTATAGAACTCCAAAAGCCGTGTCGTTCATGTGATTAGAAAGCACAGCATAGGCCAGCACTGCACCTACCGGCTCGGCGATTCCTGAGATGAAGGCCCAGAAGAACCCCTTCCACTTGCTCTTGGTGGCATAATATACTGGCATTGCTACACAAACCCCTTCCGGTATGTTATGCAATGCGATCGCCAGACACATCGTAACCCCCAACTTGGCATCTTGCAGTGCAGAAACAAAAGTCGCGATTCCTTCCGGAAAATTGTGCAGACCTAGAACAACTGCAGTAAGTGCTCCTGTTCGCATCAGGCTTGTGAGTTGGTCGGGATGAGTGCGATTCGCCGGCATCGCAAGGGCCGCTGATTGGTCATGCTCACATTTCGATGCATCTGCAATGAGACAAACAGAGCTAGGAGATTTGGAGGCAAGGGTAGACATTGCTTTCGTTGGAGGGACTGAGTGATGGTTTTTGTCCTGGACCATCTTTTGCGGGCTTTCTCCTCTCTCGACATCGCCACCCTTCTCATCTGCAACCTCCACCATCTGTTCTCTGTCCGAAGAAGAAGATTCGCTGTCGGGACGGATTTGATCTTCCGCCGACCTCACCCACTGAGGCAGGCCATGTTCATCCCCATGTATGGCGGCCAACTCTGGCAAGTCAACCTTGTTGCTCGCGGCAAACTCGCTCAGCCAATGCAACGACCAATCCAAAAGTCTCAACAGCATTATGCCGGAGAAAAAGGATACAAGGGCGTAAAGCCTCGAATAACCGGCTGACAGGCCAGCAGCCTGAAAAGAGTCTATCGATGTCTTGGAAAGCAGACCATAGAATGAGATAAACAGCATCACTCCTCCTGACGCTCCCAACGATACAGCCAATAGCACGCGATTAGCTACTCTGGCAAAAAAGACAATGGAAGCACCCAATGTCGTCGCCAACCCTGCAATAGCCGAGAGGAGGAACGCAAAACCCACATTCCCATCTGCCACAGCCATGGCTAATCCTTTTATTTTTCCCTTCTTATCCTTTCCTTGTCCTCTGCCTTAACCCCCCCTTTTCTCCCTATGTCTTGTCTACCACAAGTCTCACAAATCAGCCACCGCCGGGAGACGAGTGAGTTTTTTTGTATATACTAAATATGTATTATCATACTATTATGTAGTATGTATAGTAGTATACGTTCTATTTTTAGCAACAAGCAGCCAAATCTTAACCGATGATTGGCTGCTGAAACATTGCTTTTGTGGCCATCGAACGATGTCTCTTACGGCTGCTGATCAATGGGACAACTTTGCCCCCCTCCAAACTAGCTACCCATTTCAACTTTCCAGTGAGAAAAAGAATGGGCAAGGTTATCGTCCCACATACCACTGTATAATCCTACGCCGGTGAAGGTGGTAAACTCGTTGCCGTGTCCGACGGGTAATCTGTGACGCGTCTGACCTTATAACTTCACCATTTGCGGGAAAGTCCTAACCTATTTACTGAATTATAAGTTCAATAAATATAAATATGCAATGAATAATCCGCATGAAACCAACATATGTCTGTGTAGGATCCTCGGGGACTAAACGTGAAGAGTCCACAAAACAGAGTTAATTCACATTCTGTCTCTGGCGATGGGAAAGATAATCATCACCTTCATGGCACTAAATGAGAGAAGAGAGGAGCCGCATCCCCTCCTCCTCATGCCAACCATCTGCTGGTCTTTCCGTCCATCTGTTCTGGTTATCTGCTTGTCTTTGTTTGTTTGTTTGTTTGTTTTTTTCGCTCTCTGCTTGTTTTTCGAGAGCTGATAAGAATCGAACACTGTCGAGTTTAGCAAAGAGAAAGAGATGGCTTTTCGAATTGTCACAAACTCCAGGATTTCTTCATAGCTGGTTAACCGCAGAGAAAGAAAGAGATGGCTTTTCGAATGACGGCGAACTCCAACATTCCTCCAAAGCTGATGATCTGCAAAAAGGAGCAGAGAAAAAAAAAGATAAGTGAACCAAACAGAGCAAGGAAACTTAGAAACAAAAAAAAGGATGGATGAAGAAAAGAACAGTGTATGACAAAGAGTAAGGAATTACTGTAATTATCTGCAAAATTGCAGCCCGAGAAATCTCCTGCTTTCTGAGTATTGCTGCATGCTGGACTGTTTTGCTAAGATTTCTGTCTTCTGCTGAGATTTGCTGTGTCTACTGTGCGTCTGTGATCTGGGTACTTGCTGATACCCGCATGCTTACCCGTTGTCTGAGTGCTGGTGTGTGTGTGTGTGTGTGTGTGTGTGTGTGTGTGTGTGTGTGTGTGTGTGTGTGTGTTTTAGATTTTCCCCACAACAGCCCCAATTCCACCCAGGTGAATAGATTCAGAGTCAAAGCAGTCTTTATCCTATTGCAGACAACGAGAGCATTTGAGGTGTCCAACATATTAAAGCAATTTTATAATTAGACAGTTTATTGGTTGTCCTTGGGGTACCCCTTTCATTCTTCTTGCAGCTCCCCTTTTACTGTGCCTCTTACACGCAAGGCTGCGCACATTGATTGTGGTTGAGCGGCAGCTGCCCACATCCCCATGTGCCTCCACGGCCCACTTGCACGTTATTTCAGGAGGCAGAGTAAAAGGGAAGGTATGCTCCTGTGCATCTCTTCAGAGCTTCATTGTCGCATACCGTAACGGTACAGACCACAACAAGAACCGACCTCTCTCATAAAGTACAAGATAACACAGCGGAAGGCTTAAATACCAATGATCCGAACAATCAATGTTGCCATTCAGACCAAACATACATCATCATCATTCCATGGTGTGAAGGGGGCCTGGCGCTCACACAGGAAGAATGCGCCAGTCCCCAACTATACACAGACGAAGAAGAGGGGGGTTAGACGAAGAAGAGGGGAAGATGGGAATGCCGTCAACACCAAGTCTTCGGTACAGTCCCAAATAATCCCTCGTCAAATGTCTGAATCCCAATGTCGAGTCTGGATCCAACCAAATGTCATCAAATCCCAAAGTCACCAATCTCTCTCTCTCGTAGTCTGCAGATACTGAGAAGTCAGGCAGCGAGAGGGTGAGGAAGAGATGGTGGACTTAGAAGAGGAAGAAGAAGAGCTCTCTCTCTCTCTCTCTCTCTCTCTCTCTCTCTCTCTCTGTGTCCGCTACTAACCTGTGAAGGTGGCGCCTTGTTGCAGGTACATCGAAGACGAAGCTGGAGCTATGGCGCCACAGGTAAGTCTCCCTGGCCTCCGCCAACCATCGCTCTCTCTCTCTCTCCAACGCTACTCTAGCTCCTACTAGCCCCCAGCGCTGAAGACTACTGCTAACGCTACTACTACTCCCGCAGCGCTCCTCCAGGGTGCTACTGCCGAATCCTGAAGACTACCTCCTGCCTCCTGCACGTGAAGTGCCTGGGAAGTTCCTATGAACTGCCTCGTGACTGCCTACAGCCTGCAGGGCGGGCCAGTCTTATATAGTGCTGGCCCGTCCAGGAGGCTGCTCTTGCCAATGCCAAAACGTGCCAGACCCTGGCGTTGAAGTTCAACCAAAGGTTGTCTTGAAAACAGGCCCGAAATGGCCTGTGCTAAAACCCTGGTCTGGTGACTAAGTTTCAGGGCAGGTCGATCTTATGAGGGCCTGAAAATGGCCCCCCGTTTCAGGCTGAAAAGACTCAGGGCCTGGAGTGCCCTGTTTTAGGTTGAAACGGCACAGGGCCTGTAGGCCCTCGTTTTCAGGCTTTTAAGCTGAAACGAAATAGGCCATACACCTACTGACCCTTAGTCTACCTCGTCGGGCTCTGCTGGGCCTGTGTGGTACAGAGTATGCCACATTCATACCCCTGTTCATTTCAATTCAGATCTTCAGCTTATACAGCCTTTGTGTCCGTCCTTCATCTTCATACTGTGTGTGTGTTGTAAAATATCACCACAACTTCCCCTATTCCACCCAGATGAGTAGATCCAAAGTCATAGCAACTTTTCCTGTATTGCAGACAATGAAGCATTCTCAAGATGAGCCACTCCACCAATGAAACAGTTTTGCTTGTGAAGTCGATATCTATTCAAAACCTTGCCTTTTAACAAGCAACAGATCTCACCTTTACACAAGCAATGTAACACACTTGAGATGGGCCAACCCAACAGTAAAAACGATACGAGACAATAAATCCGTTATATCGTTTTCTTGATTATATTTTCATCTCCCATTTTCTTTGTTTTTGCAGTTACCTTCTTACTGTGCCTATCACGTACAAGGCTGGCCACGTTGATGATGGTTGAACGCCAGCTGCCCACATCCCCATGTGCCTTTACGGCCCACTTGCACGTTATAAAAGGAGGCAGAGTAAAAGGGTAATTATATTTGTTCGTCTCTCAACGACGGTCATTCATATGCGTTTACTACTAGTACACACGGAGAGGGAGTAGACAACGGGGGGAAGCAAAAAAGAAAAATAGAGAGAGCAAGAGAGAGAGAGAGAGAGAGAGAGAGAGAGAGAGAGAGAGAGAGAGAG